GAGGTTAGGGATGTGACCGACGTGGTAGGCCCTAAACAAACATAACTTTTCATTTTACTGTTACTGGGCAGAATTCTTGGTTTATATATGGTACTGTTTCATTGAAACCTAGATCGACTGGTATTTCAGTCAGTAACAAGATTTAAATTTGAGACAAAAGACTCCCCCTTAAAGAATTATAATCTTTTCTTTTCTAATTGTAAGCACAATGTTAAGTAAGAGCTTTTACTTGAGGAAGGACATTTGTGAGCAGGGTTCAGGAAGTTCCTACGAAACGTTTTTGGAAGGCTATAGAAGAGAGCTTTACCCTAACTATAAAGATAAAAGACAGATGTTCAGATTGACCTGTACTTGGCAAATCAGTTTAATTATGAAAGGTTCTTTCTGTCCTGCTCTTTATGAGATGCTACAGTCGATCTGAGGTTCAGTGAAATGCAGTGAAAGAGATTAGAGATGGTTCAGTGTGAGAGCAAAGAAGTCCTCACCCAGAGCCTGAAAGACGGGAGACAAGAGGTAGAGACATGGAAGGGTTCACAGGGAAACACACATCCAAGTCCAGACAAACTGAATTTTCAATCCATTAAGAACAGATATAGAACAAAGCTCATCCTATCAAGAGCAAATACTGAATTTATTTATTTATTTATTTATTTACTTACTTACTTAGTGCCAGTTCTGGGGCTTGAACTTAGAGCCTGAGTTCTCAAGCTAGAACTCTACTACCTGAGCTACAATTCCACTTCCAGCATTTTTTTTTGTCAGTTGTGGGGCTTGAACTCTGGGCCTGGGCACTGTCCCTCAGGCTCTTCACTATCATTCATAGCTAGCACTCCACCACTTGAGCCACAGTGCCACTTCCTTCCAGCTTTTTTGATGGTGAATTGGAATAAGAATCACACAGACTTTCTTGTCTGGGCTGGCTTTGAACCATACTTTTCAAATCTCAGCCTCCTGAGTAGCAACATTTTAAGCATGAGCCACCAGTGCCTTGCTTGACTGTATTCTCTTTTTTTTTTTAATGTATTCTTAAAAGATAATTTCTATCTTCTAATCTGATCAAGAAAACCAATATATGTGTATATTTTTGAAGCTGCTTGATTCTCATTCAGATCCATAGATTTAGCTAATAAGCAAACTTCTCCAAATTTGCTTAGACTCATACAAAATCATGTTCAAAAAAGAAAGATCCCCTTCCCTCAGTTACTTGATTCATGTAACTGTAACCCCTTTGTGTATCAACTTTCCAATAACAACATAACTAATTAACTAATTAAATGAATAGAGAGGACTAGAAAAGGTACCCAGGAGCACATCTGTCAACCTGAAAGCATCTTTCTCACGCTTCTAGTTTCATTCTTTGATCCTCTGGAATACTTTGTTTTTAATTGATAAGTGTTTTTTTATTGTGAAAATACCGTATAGAAGGGTTACAATTACATGAGCAAGGTAATGAGTACATTTCTTATCAAGCATTGTTGCCTCCTCCTTTGTTTCCCTTTCTTATGTTCAAACAAGAAAAAGAAAAAAAGAGAGGGGAATCAAACGGTCATATTCTTATCTTCCAGGAAAGTGATACATTGGATGTTTCACATATGCTAGTAGATACAAGTTGGAAGCCAGTTTCCCTATTCTGTAAGGAACACTTCTGTAGAATTCCACCACAGCTCTGGATGAGCTTGTTTCTTTCTCTCCACCTGCTTCTCTGCAGTCAGGGAAGTATGCAATTCATGCAGCAGAAATCAGTTTTATCCATTTCAGCTTTCCTCCATCTCACTTGGCTACAACTCTAGGTGTCAGTGAAAGTTAAGTACTTTGGTTTTGCTCTATGTTAGTCTTAACAGCCTACTATCAAAAATAATGTGAGTCATTTCTGTTGTTTTGCACTTCTGGGCATCAAATTCAAGGCACATGGTAGGTGAAAGCACTCAGTCACTGAGGTACATCCCTCATCCCCTTATATCTTAAGCTTTAATATGCATACAGATGTATAGGAGGTGTTGTTAAAATAAAGATTCTTCCCTGTAATTCTGGACTGAGGCCTCAGAGTCTGAATTTTCTTAAGTTCCTAGACGATGCGGATAGTATGGATATGTGGATCACAACTTGAGTACTTGAGTAGCAGTAAGAAATAATGAAGAAAATGTATCACCCAAGTGAAGGTAAAACTGAACCAAAAGACTAGCTCTAGATCAGAGAATACTGATGATTTCTGACAAGGATTTATGTACCCCACATAGTTTGAGTGTTAGTGTTCCAGATATTCCCATGGTCTTATAAACCACCACCCCACAATGCTAGTTTCCTAGGAAACACAAGAAGTTCAAAATAATTAGAAAATTACTTTGACCCAATTTATGTAGTTGATATGTGCCGTTTAATCACAGATCAGGCAAATGAGAGTACCAGAATGACCAGTTTCCTAATTAATGCATTTCTTCTTTTAAGGACCTCACGAGTCCTAAGATTTTGTGGTCCTTAAATAAAATAATAAGAATATTTACTACTTGAAGTGCACTCTCTCTCTTATCTAACTATATCTCTATATATAATTTGTTCATATATTTATATTCATACAAATATATAAATGTTTATTATACAAATATATAAATGTTTATTATATTTATTATATATGTAATGTATTACACAGACATGATCTGTGCAATATGTGAGATATAATGTATGTAATATGTTACATATATAACATATAAATAATAATTACATTTATATATAATTTATAGATTCACTCTTTGTATCCCTTTCTCTCATTCCCTCTCTCTCTTCTATCATCAACTCTCTTTTTCACTACGTCCTCTCTTTATATGTTTTATATCATGTTCTATATACTCAATAAACATGTTTTAATTTTATCATGAATGAGAGATAAAATTAAATGGTGTATATTCTTAATTCTGAAATTACTCCTTAAATACAGAGTATGCCTGTGTGAAACTATAGTCCTGGTGACGATCCTTATCTCACAGGTTATATTTCAGACTCACATATTTTTCTAGGTAGATGTTCCTCTATTTCCTTCACAAAATGTATTTAGAGCAAAAATACTCAGATCCTTTGTGCATAAGTGTTTTGAAGAATTCTAAAATAATCCAATGCAAGATGTTTGTTGTTTAAACTTACCAATTGTTATTGTTTATGATATAACTATACAGCATACTTCTTGTGAGGCAAAAGATCTGAAACTGCTAGTATTTTATATCATAGGCATTCTTCTTGAAGTAAGATACTTCCTGTCCCAAATAATATGATAAAAATGTTGGTATTGAGTTTGGCTTGAACAAAAAAGAGGTAACTCCTATATTAGAAAAAAGTTTTATCCATAACTCTTTGATGTCAGAATGATACTGTTGGTTCTTATTTACTCCAGAAATAGAATTGTGTAAAAGTCACTATGGAGTTGCTGTCAGAGCTAAATTATGGGTATAGAGGTGCTTTGTAAGGTTGTGATGAACTATTAAAAATGACAAGTATGAAGTAGTCAAGTAAGCTTTTTTACCTGTAAGTATGTTTGCTTTCTGGAACCCTTCAATGATGATTTATTGAAGCATAATATTAGGTAACATGAATCTAATCTAAAATGCTTTAGAATAATAGCAACATAAGAGTAACCATAAAGGACTTATTATTATAAAGCTTCACTGCATGGTCTTAAGACTAGTATTATGTTCAGACTTGAGAATTTTGGCAAGTTAATGTATGTGAGTAAATAAAATGCAAATTTTATATAATTTCCAGTTTGTTTTTTACCTTAGATGTGAAGTGGCATCGCTAAATACTTTTGTAGAAGAGTAACTTCTAAATTTTTTTTAAAAAGTGCTTGTCTTTTATTTGGAACAACTGCCATCATGAGATTTGTGCTCATAAAAACCTACTGTCTTTCAACAATGCAAATAAGTCTGAATTTGTAGTATCTTTTAAAATAAAACAGGGACTGTAACTTTCTTCTCAGTAATCTCTAGAGTATAAAAATGCTTGACTTTTAATATTTAACTGTTTTACTTACAATTAAGAAAGTAGCTAGGAAACAAGTACAATGTTGGGTAATAAAAGTTCAAGGCCATCTAATGGAAAAGCCAGAACCACAGGAGCTCTTGTCATAGCCAGTGTTTGAACCCAGCAAGGACAGGTACTGAGTTAGAAGGGAGTTTGAGACTCAACATCTAGCCTCCCTCTAGCAAGATTTCAGCTAAGGAATCTTTTGAAGACTGAAGCAAACAACAAAACTTGATTGTCCACAGTTTTCATGGCACATGGTTACTTCAATGTCATGTCTTTTCTTTTTTTTTTTCTTTTCTTCATGTTGTTCAGAACCACATCAATTTTAGGAATCTCCATATTCCATAGGAGGAAAACAAAAATGCCAGTCTGAAAGTTCAGTGTCTTTGGCATTCTATTGCTTATCACATTTTTGCCCTCTAGGTGCCAACCTGGATTCACTGGAGCAAGATGTACTGAGAATGTGCCCATGAAAATCCAAAACCAAGAAAGTATGTTAAAAATAATCTGAAATTTGCTTTCTCCCCCAAACTACAGCAACAATCACTACCACTTGGTGCTTTTACAACTCAGTTGCAACGGAAGCCCTTTGTGCTAATAATGGTTTAACTACCCGCGGCATAAACCCATTCACCATTCATGTTTAGCTGTGTCTCCCCGAGAGTGAAGAGTGGCTAGTCAGGATGGGCTGGGATGTTGGCATTCATGGCGGTCATCTCCTTCCAACATCTGTTCAGTGATCTAATAGAAAACTAGAAGAATGAAACATGGCTCCCTGTGAAAGGATCTTTCCATTTTGTCCAAATTTGTCTCCATTTTGGAGGAAATGCCACGGTCAGAAAGCCATGATTAGGACAAAGATTCTGTTCCTGAAGGTGAACTCACCAAGATCAGTCAAATGACACTGAAGGAGCTTCTTTCTAGCATATATTCACCTCTTCTCTTTTTTCTCTGTTTTTTCTACCATTGTTTTTTGTTTCTTCTCTCAGGTGCCCAAATGAGTTTACTGGTGATCGCTGCCAAAACTACGTAATGGCCAGCTTCTACAGTACGTCCACTCCCTTTCTGTCTCTGCCTGAATAGGAGCATGCTCAGTCGGTGCTGCTTTCTTGTTGCTGCATCGTCCCTCAGATTCACCTAGAGCTAGATGTGTTTTACCAGGTCTAATATTGACTGCCTCTGCCTGTCGCATGAGAACATTAACACCATTGTATTACTTCCTCTGTGCGTGACTAGTTGGCTTTGAGATAACTGATAGGTGTGTAAGGCTCCGGATGTTTCTGAAATTGATACTGCATAATGTGATGCACATTGACAGTCCATATCAAGAAGTGAAATTATATAATAAAAGCCTTTAAAAGTCTCACTTGTATTGGTAAAATAAAATCATTCCACAGAACAGTCCATCTTCTGTATCTAATGTCAACTTCCTGAGAGGGCTGTTGATACACTGTAACAATTATGCACTTGAAATGATGGTAAGTTTTGGCCCAGTGTGTTATTTATAACAAATAAACATCATAAAAAGAGTTCAGATGTTTCTCTTCATTAACCAAACAGTTTGCATGGAGGCATTAAAAACAAAGTCACTGAGTAAGGAAAATTAAAAACCAACATTTCACAGCAAAGAAAATAGCCTGGCTTTTATTTATGTTGCTTAGGGAGCAAGTAATTCAAGACTAGTTTAACCAATCATTTTAATGCTAGCATTTCTTTATATAAGTATTTCTTCATGTTAGCTTCAAAGGTAATTTTACTCTTCAAAATATTTTTGCTTTGAGACATAACAACTCAACTCTAGAATATATATGTGTGTAAATAAATATAATATACATACTTTTAATGCAGAACTGGGAAAATCAAATGGATTCTGTGGCTTCATAATGACTTGAAGATCATTTCTAAAATATCCACTTTGCATTATATTTAATTACAAGGAGAAGTCAACTAGGCATATGTCAGATGCATTTGTCTTTCTTTTGCGGAGTATAGTTACAACTTTTTGTTCTAAACTTTTTCAGAACATTGTACTGGAAATGGACTCCATTTAGTTATGCAATTAGATCAAGGGTTAGCAGAGCTTGCCTATAAACTCTCAGATAAGAAGAAATCTACCACTGCAGCATGAAAACAGTCTTAGTTGATGCATTTTCTGATATACATAGCTGCGCTCCACTAAAAAGCTAAGTCTTTCATTTTCAAAAGCAGACATGAGGTTATACTTTTCAAGCCCTGTCAGTTACTCACCCAGAAAAAATATTTCAAATAGCTATTACACTGTAAGTTTATAGAACATAAGAAATCATGGCCCACACTGTTTAAGGGGCCTTTGTTGTACTACATACAAAGAATAAGATTATGTTAACAGTCATGGAATTCAAGATCAATTTCTGTAGTCCATTATGGGAAAATTATACCCATAATAATTACTTAATTAATGAAGTGATACATATTTACATATGTTAGATATCAAGATTATGCCATAGGCCATTTTCTTTTATAAAGAAAAAAATAGCAAACTGGCATTGCTACATTTTCTAACACAGTCATGGCTATTTGCATAAATAAGTAACATGCATAGATTAATGCTTTAAGGTAGACAGTATGGAAAGTAAAAGTAGAAGGGAAAATAGAATTGTATTTCATACATAAAAGACTTTTATTAGAAATGCACATTTGAATTAAAAAATATAGACCTAGCAAGTACATGTGACAATCAATACAAATATAATAAAACATATTTTATAATTTAACAAAATATAACATTTAAATTATTCTTACATTTTTTGCTATTATATAGAGAGATTTCATTGTGCAGGTCAGGTCATAAGCTTAAAAAAACCCAACTATTAAAAATGAAGGTATTTCCCAGAACAACAATGCAGTTACATCTGCCAGTGATCAGAAGATGTTTTCATCCCACTGTAGGCCATATTTTTCCTTCATGTGATATTATTTTAAATAGCCACTTCGTATTTGTGAAGTCCAAAGTGTGATTCCTTAAATAAATTATTTAGTAAAGTTGGAATGACACTTTGGGAAGACATCCAGGAAATTAACATTCATATTTAACAAAGATTGATAGGAAGCACATTTATGAACCAAGTATATAATGACTATGTATTACTAATGTCTCATGTCAGAAATGCAGGAACTTCTAATCAGACATGGCTTTCAATAGTTCATTGTCTCACCCTTTATGTCTGAGATTTTCAATTTTTACTTGTGTAATCGGCTATATAGAAGGCAGAAAAATATTTTGCTGCTCTAAGAAATTCATGGTTAAGTACTAATCAAACCTAAAAAGGCGCTTTTTTTATTACCACAGAGATCCACTTTAAAATGTGTTTGTTTGCAGACATAATGTCTGGAAAACATAATATAAATTTTAAAGGAAATGGTAGCACCTAGTCTCAAAATATTTAAAAATCACCAAACCATATTTTGAGTTGAAGAAGAGCATTCTAAAAGAATGTATACGTTTAAAGTGTTTATTAACACATTATGTATACATTAATTGAATTTGATATAGACATTCTTGTTGACATTTCCTCTGGGACATGTATTGATTTATAAAAGCTGATTTAAAATATGAAACAAAGGAACAAATACATATTTCATAAGACAACTATTTGTCTTGAAATATAGCATATTTATTTTACTTTCCAGGAAAATATTGTCAAGTTTAGTCAGCTTCACATCTTGTAGTGTGGAGCAATATATGTGTGTGTTTATGTGTGCACGCATGTGGGTGCGTGTGTACATGCATGAATAAGTAATCAATAACTAACATGTAGACTTAATGAACAAAAAAAAGGAAACGCATCCACAGCTTCCATAATTAAAAGAGACAGTATCGAGCAAGTATTTCATATTTAAAAGACTAACGAATAATAAGAATAACCTGGAGTTATAGGATATTTTTAAAAGAATACCAATTTAGAAAATAGACCCATTCTGAGGGTAAACTTACCAGTTATTTTTTAAAGCAATTTGAACCATAGGTTACTAGTGCATCAGGTATTTTGTGCATTTCTAAATGTTTTTCAAACCTGCTGAAAAATGTATTTATCAAATATGTGTATCTTTGCTAATAATAGAATAAAGACACACTGTGTATAAAAAAACTTGTCCAAAATTCCAACTGAGTGGAAGATTTTACTGTATGTGTGATTGAGTGTGTTCTTGTACACAAGAAATTTGGGAAATAAGTAGAAATTTCCAAATACTCAGTAGTTCTATGGATTGGCATTATCCACATTTTAAAGGTAAGTTTCAAAGACCAGATAAAAAATTCGTCCTATCTAGAGTTGGCATTGATACAACTCATTAGAACTCTGAGGGAAAAAAAAAAGTCAAACTATCCCATAGGTTATTTATATAAATAGGCCCATGATATTAAAAAATAAAATCCTCAGTGCCTTCAAATTTTAACAGGAACTATCGTTTTTATATCTCTATATATAGTTATCCCCTTTTTTCCTAATGCAATTGGAAATTTAAATTAACCTCTAGGTTAATCAATTATCTTCAAGCTATTATAAAATCCTAAGGCATAGGATTACTGAGTCAATATTTAATAGTTTCTGAAGACTCTTTTTAAATTAATTTTTTATATTGCTTAGGGCATGGCAGGAAATCACATGTAGAAAAGGAAACTAAATTGTTTACAGTAACCTTTGTGTTTTTGAATTATTAATTTAATTTGAAAAATGCAGTGGCTAGGCAGAAGTTCAGTACGGAAGTGTGTGATACATAATGAGCCCACACCAACATTAGATTAAACAGAACAGATAGAAGAAATAATCTCTCCCTGAAAGGGAAAGTGTTTGCAGATTCTGCTTTTTTTGACTCACATTGAAAGAAATGTGGCTACCAGTAGCAAAAATCAATTAGAGCAGTATTCGCTTTGTGACTAGAATGACCGGTGCATGTTTCCTCTGCTTATTTCCTTGTTAGGCTGTATGGCCAGAAGAGATTCCAGTTTTAAGTACCAATTTCCCATTGAATTATTTGAAATTGGAGTTTCCTGATATGAATGACTTCTCTTGAAATGAAATTAGAGTTAGACTCACAGACTTACCTATAAAACTGTAAATGCAGTGATATGTATGCATGGGCATGCTACTAATTTTATTGATGACTTAACCAAGCTTTCTATGCAACTAATATAGACCGTTAGCAGTGTTCATGTAGGCATGCAATTTATGATTTTCTGGAAAGAATTTCTCTAGATATGTCTTGGTTTTAACCCTTAAATTATTACTGACTGGAAGGAGGGAAAGGCAAGAGATGGAGGTGCTTCTAGAAAGAAAATTGGGTCACACCCTCTCAAGGAGGAAATGAATAAAACATTTATTATCCCATTTCCTTAATGTAGTTTATCACATTGATGTGCCAAAGTTTATGTGAAGAAAGCAATGAGAAAAAAATGTCAGTTTGACAAAGCGAATGTTGCACAGAAGCAAGAGAAATTTGTTTGCATTAGAATAAATTACTGAAAATATCTTGTGCAACTAAATTAATCCTATAGCCATTAGCTTTTAATTTAACCTGAAAAAAAAAAAAAAAACAAGTTCTTTGTCTAAGTACACTGGGCCTGCAGCAGAGGAAACAATTATATAGTTCTTCCCATTATTTGTATATTAATTTTGGAAGCTTCAGTTCTTTTAAGGGGCTGCAAATTTTTAAAGTCTGTTTTCTGGATATATCCCAGAAGCTTTTAAATTTTCCTGGCTATGCAGTTAGTCAAAAGAAAACCTTAATGTAGTGAGCAGCCCAGGGTACATCTCCAGATGTACATTTCCCCAAACTCATGTTTTGACTCTATGCCACAAGGTTATCTAGTGAGATGCAAATGTTGTACACAATGAGAAATTACCTGGTCCCAAGGCCTTAAACAAGTAAATGGCAGAGGCAGGACCTGAAACCACAGTGAATTTCTTCACCTTTTTCCTCTACTGTTGCTCTCTCTTCTACTCCCATGCCCAAACTCAAGGTTTTCTAAGAACAAACACCCTTATTCACCACCATCACATTTTTTCAAATTCTCTTATCAGATCACCTTGGTGTCTCTGAGATCAGTGATCAAGGGAAGAAAAGGTAGCTTTGCCTTCTACCTGGTGAGCTGTTCTAAAGACTTAACATGATGAAACTTGACTATCATTTTTTTTTTCTGTAAGATTTCTTAAGATGTCCCTCCAAGAGATTTTTCTTTTCTTTATCTTATTCTCCCAGCCCCCATGTCCTCATTTGAACCTGGGCAGGTCTCTGGGCTCAGATCTGCCAGGATGGCTGGAAGTCGGCCCCCATTTTGAGTTCTCTGCCTGGGCTGCACTGTAGGTCTTCTTCATACCTGTGCCCATAGGACCTTAGTACCAGGGAGAGATGAGCCAAAGGGCTCTTAATTAAGCCCAGCATGATCAAAGTTTCAGACCCCATTGCTATCCTGTTGGTTTTTACTCCTGACTCTGCCATTGTGTGTCTTTGGGAGAAAAAAAAAATCACTTCCTCCTTTGAATTTTCCTTTACTTAATTAGGAAATAAGTGATTTTTTAAATGCCTTTTCTGTTATGGAAATCGTAGTGTAGAGGACAGATGAGCAGCTCTACAGCCTCCCTCAGTAAAGTCTTTTAAGGGTTAATAAAGACAGGTGCTGGTATTTGCACAGCTCTCGCAAACAGGAGTTCCCTTGGGGACTTGGGGAGGCATACCTGAACACTGCTTCCTTCCTTCGGTCATTTGTCCTGTTCCATGTGCACGCACAGACAACCATGATAGTCGTATGTAATGTGTTTTGGAGTGCAGTGTATTGCTCTTTTCTGAAACTTTTTCCCTTTCTTCTTTTTTTGTCAACTTTCTGCATTGGCAGAGCATCTTGGGATTGAATTTATGGGTATGGAACAATCATCATTCCTTTTGGCCTACAGAATTTAGAGCCTATGAGCTAAAATCTTTTTCCCTTCCTACTCTTACTTTTCAGTTCCTAACTAATTTCCTTTCCTTTAGAAGGGATCATACAGCTATAACAATGATTTCTCTGCTTTCAATCTATGATTAGTTCAGTGAAATATAGCTGAGTGCAGCAGATTTTTTAAATTCCCAAGCTACTTAGAGTTCAAAATCTTTCCCACTTGCTGTGAATTTATGTAGATCCCACATTGTGTGATTCAATGATGGGACCTGACTATTCTGTTGTTTAAAAGCTGAGGCTGGTTGGACTGGTGCATAGGTACACATAGGTACAGGGAAGATCAAACCAGGGGCCTGAAAACAAATGAAGTTTTAAAAGCATCACATATACAGCATATTTTAGACCAATGGAAGTTTGATATATAATGTAAAAATCACTACTTAGTAATAGTCCAGAAGACCCTGACACTGTAACCCAATGTTATTTTTATACACAGATTTAAATTACTTGTTTTCTGGAGATAGTCAAGTAGGACTCTAGTCAGCACATTATCTTATGAGTAAAGAAATAGAAAGCATAAAGGAAACTTGTGCTATTTTCAGTGGAAATTCCATTGCTAATGGAATTAAATTGGAATCACTAAGATTATCCAGCCATGTAATCAAATAGAAGATCTCACACTGTAAACAAACAAACAAAAAAGTCTCCTGTGAACAGAGTGTAGGCGTACTCTACAAAGCCTCGGTCCTAAATAATAGGATTTGAAGGTTGGTCAAGGGAAGAGCAGGGAGCTGGCTTCCTAGCCCAGTCTCCACATTTCTTTCTGAATGCTTCCTTGCATCCCTGAGTGGAGTCTGTAGCCAACAATGTCATATCCTGATTAGCAGACTCTCTGATACCACTCAAGTCATTCTGTGACATACAGCATGACATAATACAGCAAAGACACCCACTTCTGGTGGGAAACATTGCTGTTTATCCCTAATGTACAGCCTTCCGTTGGTGGAAAATGAAGCCATTGCAGACTCTAGCCTTTGAAAGTTCATTTCTACCCCCCCCCAAAAAAACAGAAGAAAATGTTATTTGATTTGGGGAAAAGCTAACTCAGGGACCTTTTTCCTCAAGAAGAGAATTTCCTAAGACTGGGGATAAGCATTGCCCTATCCCATAGAGAGAAAAAAAATCCACCACCACCCCTGACTTTTACCACTAACAGGATTTTCCCTTATAGCTTTCCTTTAATATTCCTCATAGCTTTGGAATCTGATTATAGAACTTGCTATTTCCATTTCCAAACAATGAAGTCAAGTAATTGACGTCTCTCTCAGTAGATCTTTTAAGGTTTAGCAAAGACACATGCTGGTTTTTGCAGGCTTCAAAAGATGCATGATATCCTAGACAGGTCTATTGCAGTCTTTAAAAAAATTCTAATATTAAAGTTAAACTGAGAACCAAAGGTTCTATCTCTTAACCTGGACACATGAGACTGAAAATTGCATTTAAACTGATTCACTGTGATGTATCTAACTTAACCACAAAGGCAGGAACATTTCCACTTACAGAGACAGACCTACCCATGAGAATGAGTCTTGATTTTTAACACTGTCTCTTATTTCCTCTTGTATTGTGGAATCTATCACACAGGGAAAAAAATGTGAAGGAAGAAAAAGGCTAAAGGAATATAGTATTTTTTTTTGGAATCCAGTATTTTTGCTATTATTTATCAAATAGTTTTCCTCTAACACATTTATATAGAAGAAGTTACCTGATCTAGCAAACCCATGAAAAAAATCAAATAGAACTTGAGGGAAGAAATTTGTAATCAGTATTGAGATGAATATAGAATTTAATTCCCTATCTGTATTCTATGGGCTCTGCTGTTAAAGTTTTAGTACTTTTTTTCATTGTCTTGTCCTTTATAAAGCTACCTCTATTTCTATAAAGAGATTGTTTTATTGGGAAACACATACCTTCCAATATACCTGAGGAAGAATGGGCTTATTTTGTGCATGTGTATATATGTAGAGCTAGGGATCAAACCCAAGACATATCACATGCTAGGCAATTATCCTACAACTAAGCAACAACCACAGCTCCAGCTTCAACATTTTAAAACCAAGCAATAGATTGGGCAGGGGAAAGTAGGAGCTTCCTTTTCTTGGCAACAATACTGATGCTTTTGTTTCTAAATCAATTCATCTCAACTGAAGAACCCTGCTCTGAGTCATGGGTCCCAGAGAGGAGAAGCAGTGAGAGTAGTACCTCTGCTTCAATACATATGCTAAAAACTGATCAGGGTGCCCAGGGTAGGAAGAGAGGTCATCAGCTGGCAGATTACATTGCATAAAAATCCATCCCCTGTCCTGTGGCTCTGAAGGAAGGGAGGCAGCACACAAGCAATTAACAGAAGCACTCAACGTTCTGTGTCCTTGATTGACCTTTGAGGCACAAAAGTCCACAGCGCCAATTCTGTGTCTTCACAACACTGTTGCACTGCAATGCACCAGCTGCTTTGCTTCCTAATCGTGGCTTCCACGTGACTGCTGCCCAAGTTAGGAGTTATGCTGTATGGAATAACCCTTCCAACTCTGCATTCCCCTTTTCTTCCCACCCAAGCTCTTCCTCCTTCTGGTTTTCTTTTATTTATTTATTTTTCTTCCCTTAGTATCAGGCATGATGTGCCAGGGACTTCAGATGGCTCCCTAACCTTTAACCTGGTTTTCCCTTGTACTTGATTTTCTTACTCTCTGTCATTCTGTCAGTTTGTCTGTCCTCTTCGTTTGTTTTTCCTTTCCACTTCCAACCCTTTCAGTTTGTTTTTGTATAATCTATGCAGCATTCTATTCTTTTCCCCACTGACTTCTATTCTTCTCCTGTTAATAATCAGTGCTCTATTAATTTGATTTGACAATGTTCTTGACCTGTTAACTGGAATTTGATTATTATGGGCTTGGCTTGTAGGAAATGTTTTGTTTAATGATAAGGTCCACTGTATCCCAGAAATCAAAATTCACTTTTCCATTTCAAGAAAACTTCCTGTGAGTTGCCCTCTGTCAGTGGAGAGAAAGGTATAGCTAATGAGACTGGGAGTATATAATGGAAATAGTTTTTGATGGCCTCTTGTGGTTGTCCAGATAAGACAACTCCATTTGTTCCACATTCCCCAGTTCTTGCCCAGCTTATTAAGTGTTGGCAAGTAAACACCATCTGTGTTATACACTGTGTACCAGTTGAAGTCTCCTTTTGAATGAACTCATGAAGATCTTCCAATAAATGTAATTAGACTCTTGGAAGCTCAGCTCCTAAGGGATCAAGGTCCTCATTAAGTCAGTGAATCTCGTTAACAACCTGACCTACCTTTATATAATCAAGTTATCCTCCAAAGAAACTAATTTGCAAATAGAAAATTTTCCATGAATTAGAGATTGATTGCATTAGGAGTAAAGTAGTACCTTTAGTTCAAAGTTCTAAGCCACATACTTCCTGAAGAGAGTATTCATTAGGTAATTTGCCAAGTTGGCTAGTTTAGGAATGTGCACTCTATTCCAAATTATATACCATTAATGCTTGTGAATGACATTGTCAAACAAATAAGTTATCTAAGTTCAACTGATGACATAATAACCATTTATCCTCTAAGGAACACATCTTCATTCTGCCCCAACCATCATACTGGATTTTCTCAGATACAGTGCCCTGCTAGTTCATATTTTTCTTGTGTTTCACAACTTCATGTCAAACTATAGGACTCTTGCCTTAATTTACTTGATCACTACAAGCCAAGTTCATATATGCAAATGTCTTGGTATTTATTTTTTTAGTTAGATCTGTCTCTTTGTAAAGACCACTGGACATGAAATGATGACATAAAATAGCTGGAAATGTAAAGAGGCTCCAAGGAAGAGGGTGGAAGAGGGGCAAAGGCAGAAGGGAGGGTTCTCAGCAGTATCATTCTAAGCATCATTTCATTGGGATTGATTCCTGTTGTCTTTGCAAGAGATTCTTAAGTTTTTAATTTTACATGAGATTTTAAAAAAAGATTTTTAACAAAATCATTATTTTATAATTATTGCTGATGTTGTTCCAGTTTAATATTATTTAATATATATAGCCATAATTACCATACAGAGTATAATATTTTTACTGTCAGTGGCCAAAACTGGCTTTCTTATTTATTTATGCTCAGTGTAGTACAGAGCATGTTGTGCCTTAGACATGTCTACAAATGTACAGAATTGTTCAGTATTTATTTTTGTGTGAATGTCGATAATGTCATGCCGCATGCCAATGTTCTGTTGTAAGTCCCAATGACCATAAGGGCCCTCGGTGACATCTGCTCTCACCCCTTTCCAGAAGCGGAGGAGCTCTACCAGAAGAGAGTGCTGACAATAACTGGCATCTGCATTGCCCTGCTGGTGGTCGGCATCATGTGTGTGGTGGCCTACTGCAAAACCAAGTAAAGCTTCCTTCTCTGTACCTTCCTCTCTCCTTAGCGCAGAGCTGGCTTAGGTGGCCAGGGCTCTGTAGACCCATTGATCCACACCTAGGTCCCAGGAGAAAATGATGGAGGGACTTTTCCCTCTTGCTTTTCCTTCTGCATAATACAGTTTAGGGCCTTCCTTGATTATGTACAGTGGAAAGCTTTGCCGTGTGTGTGTGTGTGTGTGTGTGTGTGTGTGTGTGTGTGAAGTTTTTAGGAGATACTTAAGTGACCACAGCTCTGGTAATGGATAAGGTTTGGAGGCTTGTATAGAAGCCCAGAGTTCATGTGTGTATGTGCACATGTGTGTGCATGTACCACTTAGGGGTGTATGCAAGTGTCATAAGTATACTTGGACCTATCACTGCTGAGGACAAGTCTAGTTTGTACACTAGCTTAGGAGATAAAGAAAATGCTTGGTGGTCTTTGAGATGCAGGTTTGTAAAAGTCAGAGTTAATAGAGCTCAGTTCTATTTAATTAGGGTTGCCCATATAAAATACTCTCAAAATGTGAGGCCCACAAAGAAATCCCATGGAATGAAAATGAAGCACAATTGAACATTGAAGGGATTGAAGTGAAAACTTTGAAATAGATATGTGGTCCCTCTGTATGGACTTTTCAACTTCATCCATACTAGCAAATACTCTTTGACATGAGTTCTCTGCACTTCGTTTTCCTACATATAGCTTCAACTTTGTTGGAAATAATGCGACACTAACAGTGTTTTTGTGAGAGTGTGATTTTCCCTCATGACAAGATACTGTCTTGCCATGGAATGTTATCATGATCTAAATGTTGCTTTGAGGAATGAAAATAACTTGCTTTTTATATTACAAAGTTAAGGGCGCAGATTGTGTTTTCCCAATGTCCCATGAATAAACATGTGGCCATAATTGAGTAAATGATAGAGACAAGCCTTCATGGAACAGACTTAATTACAGCTTATTAGTTTCTGTCTCAGGATTCACCACCTTCTACAAAAAGCATTACAAGAGTAGGATCGTGTTGCCGTGCCAATATCTAATGGCAAAATGTATCCTAGGTCTCCCATATACATGTAATCTAGCAGTGTATTTTGGACAGATTCAAAGCTAAGGTTATTTTTAGGAAAGCCACAGGGGCAGGGGGAGTTGTAAGTGGAATCAACTCTCAAGTCTGCTGCACAGCTTGCTGCATAAGACAACTCACAATCTGTAATAGTTAAGCAAGGGTGGATTGATTTTAAAAGTTGTGATCACCGTATTTGTTTTCTTCTCCTTTTCTGTTTTCTTGTCCCTCTGTAAAATTGTTCTGTTTCTGGAAGAATCCCACACAGTTCTTAGAACCTCTTTGCTAAGATATGTGATTGCAATTATTCTGATATGGCATCCACTACCTCAAATAATTCAGCGGTGTTATGACAACCTCTTAAAAAATGGCTGTACAGAAATGACTGAATTGTTAAGGACAGTAAAAATAAGAAATGCTTCTTCTTTTATATTCAGGAAACAGCGGAAAAAGCTTCACGACCGGCTTCGGCAAAGTCTTCGATCTGAACGGAACAATATGGTGAACATAGCCAATGGGCCTCACCACCCAAATCCTCCCCCTGAGAACGTCCAACTGGTGAATGTATGTTGACTGCGTCTGGTGGGCCACACTGAGCATCTCTATTCTGTTCAGGCGCCTTGAAGTTTATTGTATAAAGTTCTTAGGCTCTTAGCTACTACTATCAATCAGCATAGCTTTCAGGAAACCATGTTTTTCACCAGGAAAAAAAAATAATGGGTTTGGTTACTGTAAAACCAGTAATTTTCCTCTACTGAAGTGTTCATTAGGGACTGGAATAATAATGGTAGGTTTGTTCTTGAAAGAGGCTATCACTGGAAGAACAAAATAAGACAAAGAAAAATAATAAAATCAGGATCAGAAATAATTATTTTTAATGATTTGGAAATGAAGGCTTCCTCAGTCTATTTGAGATAACTAAGCAAAGGCCTGTAAAAAAAATCTTCCTTGGGGTATGTCACAATACCTGATTATTTGCTGAGTCTGATTTCCAAGGAGAGACATCAGGACATGGAAGATCAAGGGAGTTACCAAACATGCTTCTCGGTAGCATTGCAAGGAGACAGTAAGGCTTGCTCATTCCCTGACTCTTATCTACGGGATGTCAAGCCCAGCAGATGAAATGCATCCTTTATCTGCCAAATATTTTGTTTAGATTCTACTGAGCTCTTTGCTGTTAAATTCTACTAGATTGTAGAATATCAACTCCAGAGACTGTTTACATATCATCCTCTCAATCTGTTTGTTATAGATAAGGGCCAGCATTATACTCAGCTTGCCTGGCTTTTGAAGTATTGCTCTTTATATTCTAACATAATCCTTGTATTTTTTTCCATTTTCCTTCTATGTATAGTTTGTTAATAACCCAAGCTTAGAGATTAAATTGTAGTACCATTTCTTTGTTTTTATCCTGTAGGAAAAAATGTATTTTTAGTGGCGCAAATATATTATAGACCTAAATCTAGAGCTATGGTTACCAAACTATTACCAAGTTATAGCAAAGACCTTCAAATACTAGTGGAACACTGGTGGAGCCACATGCTAATAGGCGAACATGCTCTGTTGCTTTCTTTTCCCACTCTTGTTTAGAATGTTCAGTTGGGTCGATAAATTACTATCAATATGTCATTATTGTATGTTATCATACATACCAGTGAGCTTACCCTGAGTGCCTAGAGTTTTAATTATGGCTCAAATAGTATGACATTAAACTATATTCTTTTTAAGCCTCATGTCTTCATTATGCAACAGACCTAAAATTTGTTTGTATGGTAGAGACTCCTTGGGAGTCTCTACTTACATATCGTACATGAAACACTTAGTCCAGCAACTCTTCTTGAGAGTTCAATAGCTGTTAAATACTGTTTTCATTAGAATCACTGAGTTTTAGCTGCCTCTCAAGAAGGAAGAACAGAATGTGGACCCAACAGTCATTATGTATCTTTTTCTTAAAGAAAGATAGCTAAACTTCTCTGGACAGTCCATGTGGAATAACCTTTCCATAAACAGAACCAGCTAGAGTTTCAAGCTGGTTTCAAGTGGTATATTTGGGGCTTTTCATGAAGATATAAAATTCATTAGACTACCCAGCTTGGAAGAAAGTGTTCTATTTATCAAGAAGATTCCTTTCTATTCCTTGTTTCTATTATTTAATTCAATTTTTTAGAAATACCCACAGTATCCAAAACATAACCTCAAGGCAACCTTTTAAAATACAACCTCTCACTGATAGAAGGCAGTACAAACAACCATAATTTGCTGATGAAAATAAAATAGACTCTAATTGTACTAAATATAAAAGCCCACTCTATTTTTGTGCTTGGTTAGCTGTTGGAAGCCCTTCAAATTTTTCAGCAGCCTTGTTAGTCTCACCACTGAAAGTTAAAAACTTCAAGGAAGCAAGATGCTGGTGTCTCACCATTTATAATTCTAGCTATTTGGGAGGCTAATATCTGAGGCTTATGGTTCAAAGCTAGCCTAGGCAGGAAAGTTCCTGAGACTTTTACCTTCAATTAATGACCAAAAAGCTGAAAGTGGAGCTGTGATCCAAGTAGAAGGGTTCTATCCTTGAACACAAAGACTCAGGGACCCAGACCCTAAGTTCAAGCCCCAGGACTGCATAAAAAAAAGTCTTCAATGGTAGCAGTAAGGCAACATAGGATTAGGAAAGTGAAAGAGGAAGACAGATCATATATATATATATATATATGAACATACATATATATACACATACATATATATGCACACACATACACACACACATATATATATATATAGGTTAGAAATCAAAAATAAGATAAACTTTCTCTATGCTTTTGTGTCACTCAAATATCAGTCTTCTTGACTTGCAACAGTCCTAACAAAACCAGAGATTAGAAGGAATTTGTATTGAATTGTAGTCAGCTGAAATGGAGGGAAGAAAGGGTTCTTTCTAATAAATTGTCATCATAGGCCTATATTGTATACACATCTAAGGAGTAATTTATTAATACCATTTATCTCATCTAAAAGCCAAAGTAGACAAGAGAGGATTTGCCGTGTGTCCGTGAGAAATAAAGATGTTTTAAGAATAGATTTGTGAGTCAGTGTTTGTATTTGAATTTGCCTGAGCCTTTGAATTGTGTTTTTGTCTGTCTAGCAATATGTATCTAAGAACGTCATCTCCAGTGAGCATATCGTTGAGAGAGAAGCAGAGACATCTTTTTCCACCAGTCACTATACCTCAACAGCCCATCACTCTACTACTGTCACTCAGACTCCTAGTCACAGGTATGAAATAAAAACTTGGTAGCATTACCCTAAGGACAAATACTTTCACAATACCTTTTGCATCTAGTGCCTAAAAAGAGACATGGAACATTGCTGAGACACTAAATTAAATAGTCCTGTACCTAAACAAACTTGAGACATTAGTAGCTCTCACCTTAATTGCTTATAAATCTGAGCATCAATTTTTACTTTCCCAAAAAGTAAAACAGGGACTAGCAATAATTGCATATATTGTCTACATATGCTTTACTACTCACTAAACTGCCTCACTCATGGATTCTAGATAATACATAAAAGTTACGTTCTAATACTTTTAACAGCTCTGGGAAATACCTGAAAGAAGTAATGACCCTATAACTGAACTCTCAATTCTTATATACGCTAATGATTTCAAACGGACTGCAGTCTACCAAAAACAACACTAGAATTTCAGTTATACTCCTTCAATAAAATATTTCTTCAACCTAAGCCATTCAAAGACAGAGAAACATAGTGGCATTTGATGAGTATGTATTGATGAGTGAACAAACGAATAAACTTCAAAACAAGTCTGAATCATGATCCTCTTTCTAGCAAATACTTTCATAATTCTGTTCTTAAACAGTGTTCTAGTGAGCTCTGGTGCATCAGTTGCTTTACATATTTGGTAGAATTACTACTGTTTATTTCAATGTTTGCATATTTAAAAAAAAAATCTCACTGCCTTTCATGTTTCCTTCCTTCCACCCCTAGCTGGAGCAATGGACACACAGAAAGCATCCTTTCGGGGAGCCACTCTGTAATCATGATGTCATCAGTAGAAAACAGTAGGCACAGCAGCCCTTCTGGGGGTCCAAGAGGACGTCTTAATGGCTTGGGAGGCCCTCGAGAATGTAACAGCTTCCTCAGGCATGCCAGAGAAACCCCTGACTCCTACCGAGACTCTCCTCATAGTGAAAGGTAAAACTGAAAAGCAATGCTACCGCAAGGAGAACCTCTGTAAGACAATCCCTGTGAGCACTGCAGTCTCACCTAAGGAAATCTACCCAATCAGAATAAGGGTCTGCAGTTCCGTGGTGCTCCTAGTTGATGAAGTCCTCCTTTTGTTTGACTGAACTCATTTCTCCTGAGCTGTTCACATCGTCCCAGTGGCTGACCAGGCATCAGACTCTTTAAAGAGCTGGAGTGATTTGATATGGAAGGTGCAGCAGACTTGGAATTCCAAGACCTAGCCTTAGGCTCAGACCCTAGACAAATGGCACCAATGCTTAATAAGGACCCTTGTCTAATTCCCGTTTGCAGTTGTCCAAACTTTAATTTGGTGGTGGAGCTGGCCTCATGTTCTCCTACATTCTGTCTTACCTTTCAGCCTCAGTTAAATCAAGTCAGGGGCTATGTCACTGCTGGTGGTCATGGGGGAACACATACTTGCACCCCACCATATCATATCCCACTCCAGAAGGGACAAATAAAGTATTTTGTATGCTGCATGTGGCAGTCTTCACAGGTGGATTTCAAAGTAGATATTGCATTTGCCTTGGCCTCTTCATTCCAAATTGTTTTGCCATTCTATTGGGGAGATAGGGTCAGGTTTCAGGGAGTAACCACAAAGGTACAATAAAGAATGGAGGAAAGCGAACTGAACGACATGTTAAATAAGAATATGGAATCATATCTTCTCTTTGTCCACTTTCATGTATGCTGGAACAAATTTCCACCCAGTCAGGCTTTTAGCCCATCAACAAACTGTTCCATAATGGTTTTCAATCACCTGGATTGTTTTTTTTAGTGACATATCATTCTAAAAGACACCTTTGCTATACGGATAGGATTCCACAAAGAATAACAAAGGAGGATCCTGTGGGAGTTCTCAGGTCATATATGGAGCCTACTAAGCATTTACTATCTTTCTCCTCAAATGGCATTTTAGAGCTGTATGGAATTTCCCAAGAACCCATCTATGAAATATCAGTCAGAGTCCTTCAAATATTAGCCTTAAATTCATGTACTTACATCTTTACATATTAAGGAGAAGAAAAGTCTACCTATGGTAGTTCAGTCTTTTTGACACAGGAAAAGGAGGCTGGGGTAATGTTTTGTCATGATGACCTGTGATGGTAATCTTTGAAAGCTGACCTATCCCTGTTGGATAGACTTTCTTGCATACCCAAGATACTACCTAGGACTGCAAATTGTACCTCAAATGTAAAGATCATACAGAGAAATGGTAAATCACTTGTGTGTGTGTTGATTGGATTTGGATAAGCATCTCTCAGAGTGCAACTTAAGACCCTTCCAAACAAAAAAAAAAATCTGTAGACTCAAGGCTCCAATATTTCAGTCTCTGACATACTTTCCCAGTTTAGACACAGCTGGATCTCACATCCATATCACTGTGAGTCATGGAAGTTACTAGACCTCCTCTTCCTGTTAGCTAGAGTTCAGCTAGTGCTGTCCTGTGTCATCACAAGTCACATCAAATTAGACTCTACAAATGTCAGGGGGAAGAAAAGTCCTTTAGTGCTATGCTTCGGTGACAATTTTTTAATCATACATTGAGAAATGTGACTCATCCCCTTTGGTGCCAAAAGGCAACCCATCTTATTCTGGCAAAGGCATGGGGAATGTGCTTTGGGTGTCCTGATGGCTATATTCACTGAACAGTATTAAGCACAGAATATCACCAGGTATCTTGGTACTACCTGCTCACAAAAATGGCTAGGCATTTTGACTGATGTTTGCATACACATCTGTATGGAAGCCTAGGGATAATATAACCATAGGCATTAAAAGAGAAGTCTGGTGGGGCACTGGTGGTTTATACTTATAGTCCTAGCTACTCAGAAGGCTGATATCTGAAGACCGAAGTTCAAAACCAGCCCAGGCAGGAAAGTTCATGAGGCTCTTATCTCCAACTCTCCCCACCCCCCCCCAAAAAAAACAGAAGTAGAGGTGTGACTCAAGTAACCTTGAACACAAAAGCTCAGGGACAGTGTCCAGGTCCTGAGTCCAAGTCCCACAACCCATATCAATGAGAGAGAGAGAGAGAGGAGAGAAGGGAGGGAGAGAGAGAGAGGGAGGGAGAGAGACAGCACAGTTGGAAGAGAGGTAGACTGGAGATTGGACATACTCTCCATTGTGGTAACTATGAGACCAACACCAGGGTCTCTCAGGCTTCCCTTTGTATGTCTTGGACCCTGGAATGGATAGTTGCAAACTGAATGTTAACTAGAAGCATTTTGTGGAAAAAAATGAAAAGCACACAAATGTATTACACTGTTGTCAGGAATAAATCTAAGTTACTATGCTCTTTTTTTTTCATAAGACATAACCTTATAGCTGAGCTAAGGAGAAACAAGGCACAAAGAGCCAAATGCATGCAGATCCAGCTCTCAGCAACTCATCTTAGATCTTCTTCCATTCCCCATTTGGGCTTCATTCTCTAAGACCCTTTGGCCTTTAGGAAGGTATAGTATTTAAGTAATATTTTTTTTTCCCTTCCAAATCCCTGAGCCTTGGTCCTCATAAGCTGAGAAGTTTTCAGGACCTAGAGCCCTCTTTTCTTGGCTCTTATCTAAACTCATGATGAAATAGAAAAATCCCCAAAGCCTTGAAACAAACTAGACAATTTACCTGATTTTTTTTTGCATGTACTGCTGTGAGGCAACTCTTGGCTACATAATTTTAGATCCCAAGGGTATTGAATTTCCTAGTGTAAAAATGGAGACGCATACAATGAAAAGTCTTCTCTGACGCTAGCCTATCATGAACTCTGTCCCCTTACCCTCCCTGCTCTATGCCTTTTATTCCACCACACTTATGCAGGGTATTCTGTGCTCACACAGGTATGTGTCAGCCATGACCACCCCGGCTCGTATGTCACCAGTAGATTTCCACACGCCAAGCTCCCCCAAATCGCCCCCTTCGGAAATGTCTCCGCCTGTGTCCAGCATGACGGTATCCATGCCTTCCATGGCAGTGAGCCCCTTCATAGAAGAAGAGAGACCTCTGCTTCTTGTGACGCCACCAAGGCTGCGGGAGAAGAAGTATGATCACCACCCTCCACAATTCAACTCTTTCCATCACAACCCTGTGCATGAGAGTAGCAGCCTCCCCCCTAGCCCCTTGAGGATAGTGGAGGATGAGGAGTATGAAACAACCCAGGAGTATGAGCCAGCTCAAGAGCCTGTTAAGAAACTCACCAACAGCCGGAGGGCCAAAAGAACCAAGCCCAATGGCCACATTGCCAACAGGTTGGAAATGGACAGCAACACAAGCTCTGAGAGCAGTAACTCAGAGAGTGAAACAGAAGATGAAAGAGTAGGTGAAGATACACCTTTCCTGGGCATACAGAACCCCCTGGCAGCCAGTGTTGAAGTGACACCTGCCTTTCGCCTGACTGACAACAGGACTAACCCAGCAGGCCGCTTCTCCACCCAGGAAGAATTACAGGCCAGGCTGTCTAGTGTCATTGCTAACCAAGACCCTATCGCTGTATAAAACCCAAATAAACACATAGATTCACCTGTAAAACTTTATTTTATATAATAAAGTATTCCACCTTAAATTAAACAATTTATTTTATTTTAGCAGTTCTGCAAATAGAAAACAGGAAAAAAAACTTTTATAAATTAAATATATGTATGTAAAAAAATGTGTTATGTGCCATATGTAGCAATTTTTTACAGTATTTCAAAATGAGAAAGATATCAATGGTGCCTTTATGTTATGTCATGTCCAGAGCAAGTTTTGTACAGTTACAGTGATTGCTTTTCCACAGTATTTCAGCAAAACCTTCCAGATATTCAGTTTTTGCTGGCTTCTTGTGCATTGCATTCTAATGTGGACTGGATGTATGATTTGCAAGACTTGCAACTGTCTGTCTGTTTGCTTGTAGCAGCACCCCAAGCAGTACATCTTGTAATGGCACATCCATCCAAGTAATCTTCTCTTTTGTATGAAGTTTTCTTTGCTTTTTGAATATGAAATGAGTTCTGTCGACTCTGTCAGCCAAAGGTTTGCTTCACTGGGCTCTGAGATAATAGTAGATCCAACAGCATGCTACTATTAAATACAGCAGGAAACTGCATTAAGTAATGTTAAATATTAGGAAGAAAGTAATACTGTGATTTTTTAAAAAAACTGTATTATTATTCAGAAGATAGCTTGCTCTTGCTAAAAGGAGCTACCACTGACTTTATTTTAACTTATTTTTTTTTCCTTGAAAAAGAACAACCATTTTAGGGATAGCTTAGAAAATGGGTTCTGGCTTGCTATCAGGGTAAATCTAACAGCTTCGATAGAAGAGGACTCAATTCCACTTTCTCTCTAAGAAAATGATTTAGCAGCTCATCTAGTTGAACAGCAAACCACAACCGATAAAGGTGCAGTCATTTCTGATGTTTTGTTTTTTTTTTTTTCTTCACCGATTTGGGAGCTATTGATTGGCTTTGTCTTCTCAGCTCTGGAAGAAGCAGATCATGGCACAACAAAAAAAAAAATCCAGCCCAAATAGCACACTCACCAACCTGTCTCCAACACTTGTATACTGAAAAGTGTCTGTTGTACACGGCAATGGCTTGTCACCATAGGAAAATGTTCCTATTGTAGCATGTTTAGAAGGGGGAGGGGGAAATGTGTAGAAGACACAGATAGAGAGTGGTTTGTGACTTGGTTGACATTTTAAAGTATGGTTGACTTCTCCTTTCTGCCCCTTCTGTGTCTCTTGCCTTTCAACGTTGCCCTGATTGAGTTGTAACTATGCACGAACACTTCTTGTCAGAATTGGCCACTGTGCATGTGATTTGTGATGAGCAAGAACCTTCCCCGGTGGTAATTCACTAGGAATGGCAATAGTGTTGGAAAAAATTGCACCTTTACTTGCAGAAGTAGCCCCTACCTCTGGACTGACGCCTCCAGTGACAGCCTATACCACCCATTTTCCTCTCTCTTCATTTTTGCCTTACCGCTACAAAAGCAGGACTAAGACTAGGCTGCACTTGGCATGTTCTCTTGTGACTGCAAATCCAGTGAAGGCCTACAGATATTGATATTTGAACTCACTGCTCATGCAGGAAAATAAGAAAAGTAGCCCTAAACCATGCAAATCCTCTTTCGATTCCCTGACTGGTGTCTGCCAAATCAGGTCTGGAGCTTTGCTTATGCTCACATGGCTTCCTAGGATCTATGGAGCAACATGGAAAACCAGTTAGCAGAGGGTTCACGAAGTCAATGACAATCGATGTGTCTTGTTCACAAGTGAACTGAATCTCTTTCTTCCACCAAATCCTATGCTACAGAGGAGAGGGAAGAAACGACATGCAAGTAGATCTTAGAAACAAAACGTTGGCTGGGCATATGTTAATGTCATTATACTCCTATATGTTCCTACCCTCTACAGAGATGTTTGTTGGAAGGTCTTTGAAGTTATACTTAATGTTTGCTATCCCATACTTTTTGTCCCTTTTATACACCCCACTTTCTCTGTGGTCAACATTGACCTTGTTGCTTTTTTAACCTACACAGAGGCGTCCCCTCAAGTTGTACTGATTTCCCAATTCCAGAGAAATGAGACCGCTCCTGGAAGGAAAATAATTCAGCTTCAAAGAAGTTCTCCAAATTATTTTTAATATCGCCTTTGAATATCTTGGCTCTTTCTTCAATATTTTCATAAAGCAATTTCTATTGTTATTTTCAAGACCCTTAAACATCTTGTTCCAAACTCCTTGGGCAGCAGGGTATGCAAATGTCCTCTTTGGAAAAATAAATAAAATCTTCTGATTAAAAAAAAATGAGCATGAGCAGCCTTTCCCTCAGTATAAGCATTGCTGCAAATGCTAATATTTCAGATATATGAAATTTTATTTTCAGCCTGATTCTGGTCACTCAGAAAAGTGGCATGTTAGTTAAGACACCTTTTTCCCCTATGGAGCAAGAAATTCCTTTGATAAGAAAAACCAGTTGGCTGTTCAAAGCTACTTACTTCAGCCCCCAGATTTATGTTCACAGGGACATTGCAGGGGGGTGGCTTTAATGCCACCTCACTCTCAGTCATCACTGTTTATAAATTCAGGCAGTGCCTTGGTAGCCCAAAGGAATAGAAAACCTATGTTCCTGGCATACAGAAAGCTGTCTTGGGTTTTAAGGCCATGGAAATTACCCAGAAGCTTGACAGCAACTTGTTATTCTGGGTCTGAAATCATATTCCCCCAAAGGGTATGAAGTGAAGCAGAGAATGTACATAATGTCCTTTTTTTCTCATGCAACATTCATTTTCTTTTCTGTTTTCCCTCTTTTTCTTTCTTTCCCAACAGTGCCTGGTGGACAGCCTTCAGATTTATACAAACTGGTCCTCTGTGTAGGAAAATGTGTCCCAACTAGCTATCTGCTATATTCTTCTTGTTCATTCTGACTGTCTTTATATAGGTGGAGTTGATCCAGGGTAACTTGCTCCGAATTTCCTTTTCTTTTCTTTTCACTTTTGGCCTGAGGATATAGGGCACATGGCTCATATTGACAAAAATATGGAAGGTCTTTTAGTGCTGGCTGCATTCCACCAGCTACAGAGATTTCTGTTTTCAAAGATCCATTAAACACTGTACAGAAATGCAGATAAAAAGGAAATGGCCACATATCACAAGTTTTATTTCATATTCTTTTGTAAATACATATTGTACATTGCTTGGATTTTTTTAAATCATTTTCTGTCTTTATGAGTTAATGTCAGTTTTTACTCTCTCAACTGTGTAACATTGTAAATAACATAATGTCCTTTATTATTTATATTTAAGCATCTAACATAGAGAGTATTGTTTTCATATAAGTTTAAGATAAATGTTAAAAATATATGTTTTTTCCTTTGCTTTAAAATTATGTACCTTTTTCTTTTCTTTTTTTTTTTTGTTTGTTTGAAAAGAATAATTTATTGTTCAGGAGAAAGAATGTATATGTAATTGAAACTATTTGAAGAATGCACATTTGAAGGCCGTGAGGTACTGATAAACTAAAGAATTTATTATCCAAAATACTAAGCAATAAGTAATTGTGATTTATTTAAAGTTTTGTTCATTTTCCCAAGAAAGTCATACTGCAATAAAAAAACAAATGCGATCTGTGGAGACTTGAGTGTGTTGTTCAGCAGACTAATGTTTCAGTCTGTTAGACCAGCACCTTCTGTCTTGCTGAGACAGTTGTACTAACATAGTGGAAATGTGCTTCTTGGATCTCACCATCATCTTGTCTGTCTGTTGCTTTTGCCACACAATTCATCCTTGAGTCATCTGCCACCTGGTTCTGTTTACCTCCTTCCTCCTTGTTGAAGGGGCCACAAAGCAGTGGGAGGCTTCCATCCTTGTCTACTCTACCTCCCATACACAATGGCATCAGAGAGAAACAGTTCATGAAACAACTGCCAGGATTCAGCTTGCTACTATGTTGTCGAGTGACAGCCAGAAACTTCTTGAGATTAATGGAAAATGTCACTGTGCCCATCCCATTCGATCAGGAAAGAGGAAAAATAAATGCTATCAGGGTTCAAGTGATCCAATAGTCACAATCTCTAAAAGGCAGTCATGCTAAGCATCCTTATGGCTTCAGTAAATTTGCTTTCCATCAGACCCATGGCTCTATAGAAAGATAAGGCCCCATCAAATTCATTCCTCTCATTCTATCAATAAGTCAAACTGATGCCCATCTTACAGCTCAGGGAGGGGTTTATGCATGAACTATCTCTCGTGTTCTAAGGCTTGTCATAGAAATGAAGACATTACTTTTCTTACTGAAATTAACCTACACAAAAGCCATATTTTGACAAACAGATATTTATGTGCTACTTTTTTTTTATATATTTCAGGCATTTTACTCAGTGTCAGAAAAGTTAAGTGCTTCTAAAAGATAGGGAATGAGCATGAGCAATCTTGGGGTTCCAAATGCCTGCCTTTGTAGTTTGACCATACCTGAGATTTTCCATCCAAGTCTACCTCTATATATGTACACAATTTCTGTTACCTAGTAATAGCTCCACAAGAGTTATTTCCAAACACCGTGGATGTCTAGGAGATTTAAATGGAAGCTTTCAACTATGCATTCCTGAGGCCACAAAATCAATTCACAACCCACTAGCTTCTCAGCCAACCAGCCAGGCAGCAGCTCAGAAAGTACAGAATATTTAAAAAGTTAAAATTTAAATATGTTGATGTTTCATCCATTCCCCATCCTAACTGAAAACTACAAGCAACAATTTTAGTAGTTCAGGATAAAATTGTTTCCATAGGCTACCATTCTTTCAAGACAATCTTTCACTTCTAGTCAAATGACAGATCTTGATAATAATTACATTTCAGTTATAGTTATCTCTTGAATATCGAACCCAAGCCAGATGTAGAAACTAGCAAGCCTCTGTCCTTTCTACCAGTAGTCTTTACTCTCTGTTCTCATGATAAATGGCCAGAGGACTTGTCAGGGAGTTGGGGGCAAATCAAGTCAATCTGCAATCCAGATATGTAAGTTGCAGTAAAATTAAGTTATGCAAATTACTACCCCCCAAAATTTATTTGGTAGGAAATGGAAAGATAGCTCACCTATGAAAAATAAAGTCTTCCTGTTGGTACCAGAAATAACAATATTCCTAATCTTTAAAAATGCTGTTGGATAAGGTAGTCCTGTTGTTTCCTGCATGTGTCTTTTAGCATCTTGATAGTATCCTCATATGGCAGCTATTGGACCTCTCTATTTAGCTATTGGTTTTGAATGTCAAGCTTTAAAACATCATCTATTATAGAGAAATGACTTGTTTTGTAGAGATAACTCATCATAATCTACCAGGTCCATTTAAAAACAGACATAGTAAAAGAGACCAGTGATTCCTAAAAAGGAGGCAGAGACTGGAGTAATAATGATACCTAGGATCTTTTTCTAACTCCTCTTCGAATGGACATATTAGGAACAGAACAAGGTACAGAAAAAGACATCTCTTCTCATTACATAGCATACTGATGAGGAGGAAAAATTACCTCTGTAGATTTAAACATCTTTAATGGCTTGTGCATAGATTGACTCACACACAGGGAAATGAACTATTAAATATAAGTAATGTTCTATAATCTCTTATGACTCAAAAAAAACCTTCTTTATATCTTTTCTCGTTTTCTCCTGATATAATAAATGATGGGGAAAATTTAGGCTGAGTGGTTGAAAAAAATCTCTCTTGAAGTTATATATTAAGTAAGTTATAGCAGCAATATTTGTATCTAGGTTTTCTTACTATCATTTCTCAAACTCCTACCTTCTGCCCAGGTCCTAAGCATAAATAGGACTTTTAGCTTGAGTTTTCATTCTTTTACATATACAATGCAATTAGTAGCCTCTAAAATCAAGTTTCCTTTTGGAAGAACATGAGCTATTCTGGCTTTGGTTCAGAGAAATTCTAGAACCCAATTCATTTGGCTTTGTGACTCAATGCATCTTTCATTAAACTTTGCTTTCTAAAGAAATGATCTGTAGCCAGGAGAGTGATTTCACAACTCTCAATAGATAGATTGCAAATTCTAGTCAAAAGAAGATGTGGAGGTAGAGGAATATATCCCTACTACTACTTGGCAACTTTGTAAATGTAGGCAATTTTCTCCCCCTGATTTATTTCCTAATCTCTAACCACAAAACTGTGCTGCAGGCAGGATTCAAGTTGAACACATGGAAGGAAATTCAAAAATGTTCTCACACATAATGTGAGAATTCAAATTTCTTCTTCCATTCACTTCTTCTATTCCAGTTTCTTATACTAAGGAATCAAAGTTTCCAATGGTACAATGCAGCACAAGTCCACCCAGTAAACATATTTGACCATTTCTTCAATCTGATGCCACTCAACAAATTCACTTTAACAACAGCTATATGTGGAGAACTATAATCCATCCAAAAAGCATTTTAAACTATTGCTTAAATACTAAGCTCTCTTAGAATGAGTTATGAGCATAATAACTTGCTTTTACAAAGCCATACCATTTCATGTCAATTATCTAATTTTAATAAAATTTTAATTATTACTGATTCCTTATAGTCTCACAGGAATTTACTGAAACATGACTCTTTGTAGAGTTTCATACCGCCCTCAAACTTCTTTGCAAATATCTAGTAGGATAATCAAAAAATGGTCCTAACCTAACCTGACAGTATATCTTGGTCAGTGCACCTCCATTTGCCTTACTTTCACCCCTAATCTTAACATATTCTAATTTCTTTTTTTTTTTAATGCTTCACGAATTTGCATGTCATCCTTGCACAGGGGGCCATGCTTATCTTCTCTGTATCATTCCAATTTTAGTATATGTGTTGCCGAAGTGAACACCATATTCTAATTTCTTATACAAAGGTCTGCAAAGTGATGAAATTCAGAGTCAAGACTGATATGACCATTTTTATGAAAAAAAGAACATAGCTCATGGATATTTATCACGCACTCCCATTACCTATCCAATAAATGTTAAGGTTCTTACTGACTCTTTTCTCCATGCATAAAGCAGGATTCTCTTATGAGTGTGATCCATAATTTATGGATTCAAGCTATTCAGGTTCAATCCTTTAAAACTTCATTCACAAGAAGAATGGCAGATGATTTTGTTTCATGATATCAATCATCAGGCTTGCGTATCAGCATGGTTCACAGCAAGAATCTAACATACTTTTCCATATACTGGCTTACCTTCCAATTGAAATATATGTATATATTTATTGAGAATAATTGCAACCCTCACTCACCATAAAAATAACAGGAAACAATGCATGTAAACTTTGTATCTTTCTGGCTAATGTTGTTAGGAGTTTAGCTAACACCTGTCTTCCCAGGCTTTCATGAGGTGATTGACATTTTAGGAAGTAAGGTGATGATCTAGCTTCTGCATAATGTGGGAACTTACAGATTGGATGGTGGTTTAGATCTCCTCTGGTGCCTTATAGTGAAGCTCACAGCAAACTTTGTATCTCCTTCAGAGAATGAGGCTTTATTGGCATAAGCTTTTGCAGCTAATACGATATCAAACAATTGTCCTTTGGGTCCTAGTCTTGCTCTGCCGTGAATCAGGAAAAGAAAAAAATGGTACACATTATCCACTTGTTCCCACCTTCCCATTTCCCTATAACCACATCCTGCCAAGTACCAGTTGGTTCTGCCTTCACACAAGAGTCTCATTCAAATACCCCAGAAAAACTCCATTACTGGGAGTTCTTCTTTTCCCAGCTTTTCACTCCTGATTGATACGTTAATTATGCAGACTGGTCATCTCATATGGTATATACATATTACTTTCTCATACTGTGCCCCCAGAAAGGTCAATTAATATCATGTGTTAAATATTTTAAAATCAAATCATATGGCTTCATATTTTTAACAAAATCTTAGTAAGAAATGATTGGGTTTCAAGAGAAATTTAAAGTAATATTATTAGACATGGGAGCTTCCTTGATTGGAACAGTCACATGATATTATCTTTTCCATTATTTTCTTTGTCCCTAGACTTTTCCTTCACAACAACAACAAAAATGAACATTTTTTCTAGCTCCATTACATTTGTTGAAGATTACCTTATTTGAAAAATATATTTGCTAGTCAGGAATGTAAAAGATGAACCTTGCATTCTTTCTATGAAGGTGTTCACACAGAGTTACAGAGCTGTAGGGTCCCACTCAGGATCAAAACCATGTCATTTATAAAAGGAGTAACTCTGAGGAAATAACCCCTCCTCTGGTTAGTAAATCCAACTGTTCCCCACTGTCCAAGTCAAACCTGAGCAATATTCTATATTTCTCCCACCATGTCTAATCGGTGACAGAGATGAATGTATCACTGACTTGTTAAATATCTCACCTCCACCAGCCCAACCTCATTTCTACCTTTATTCATGTCTCATTCATGTCTCTCACAGGGCCTGTTAGCCTCCTGACTGATCTCCTTCATTAGCTGCTCTGGACTTTCCTTCACATTGTGTCAGTGAGTTCTAACTTGCAAACCCTTTCTTGCAGTCTGTTGGTTATAACTCTCCTGTGGTTCCTCACGGACTACAGTTTCTCAGCCTGATATAGGAGGCCCTCCACAGCCTGGCTCTGCAAATAGACTTGCCTGCATCTTCATAACTAGCTTATTTCACTCCTCACCACTCATTCCACTCAGGATTTCCTGTTTTCCAAACATACCACAGCAGTGTTATCAAATTCTAGTCACTGACATACCTGCTTCATATGAATACCATGTATCACCTGTATTTTCTTTTGCATATTGTTTTTTTAATTAATTGCATTTTTAACTAAAATAAAGTCATTTCAAAGACAATTTTGTATCAATGCTGTGAATGGAAAAGTGCAATCAGTTGGCATAATTAAGAGTGTAAAAAGTAAATACAATAAACATGAACCAATGTCATTACATTCTAACAAGATACTATTGCCTGCTAAAGTCTTGGGGTGGAAAGTCTATGTGGGCTTTCGTAAAATGGGAGATGAGTAAGTGTTAGGGAGATGGAAAACATGTTTGGGAAACACAGGAAGATTCATTCCGTAAATTAACTAGGATGGGGAAGGAAAGGATGAGGATTCACTGCTCCAATGTTATTTAGTGTTATTTAATGCACCATTCTAAATCTTCCTGGAAACAACAACCCCTGTCTCTTAGGAAACAGAATATCATGCTTGCTTAACATTCCTGAATGATGCTATTCCCTTCTCCGTTTGTTCTCCTCAGAGTTCTTTTGTCTTTTCTCTAGGAAATGAACTATCTCCAGGTCATCTATAATTCTCCACCTTCTGTAGGTGCTAACTTGCCCTTCATTCTCACATAGTATGTGTGCCTTACTCAACATAGTATTACCATCTGTCTCAAATCTTGTAGTTAGTTACCTAAAACTCCTCCTGGGAAGATAGAGATACTGCTGTGTGTCTATAATTGAGAATGTGCCTGAACATGGTAGATAATGAATGTGTAGAAAATAATCCTCCCTGCCAGTCAATAGAGATAATGATGATCATTATTGTTATTATTATCATTAACTTGTAGAAGTAAGGATTGAATTGAGAGCCTTGGGCTTCCTAGGGAGGCTCTCTACCATTTTGAAAAGTAGCCCAGCCCTTTTGCTTTGTTTTGCTTTTAGAGAGAGTCTCACACTTTTTCCTGAACCAGTCTCAAACTGCAATCCTGTTCTGTCTGCCAAGTAACAGGGATTACAGACATGAGCCCTTGCACCCCACACAATAGGAAGTTCTTCAACTTCCCCAAAAAGACAATTGGAGTCAAAATTCTTACAGAGCTTCTAAAAAGTGGTCAGCATCAATACTAAGGATTACTAGCACTGAGCTGGTCATACTTGCAGCTCTTGCTAAACTCTGTGCTTCTCAGCTTCAGAACTAGTCTCCTATGCTGATGAGTTCAGTGCTATCTACATTAGCCACGTTAGAGAAGCGCACAGGAAAGTAGAAACCACATTGCTTTGAGCACAGATTTCTCACCTAAAATGCACCAGATTGACAAGCAAATTCTCAGATCTGAATAACTCCAGAGCTTGTGGGTGCCTAAATCTATGAGGTCAGATCATCGGTGCTCTAAAACTGGTCCCACGGTTTATTTTTCTTGTAAATTCAATATCCAAGGGATGCAGAATAAACCACTCAGATAACTGTGACTCCTCTTTGAACACACAATTTGAGTATAGAATATTGAATAATATTATGGTATAGTCACCCAACTGACCAAATACAAAACCTGAATAGAAACTGGCAGCAATTCAGCTGATATTAGCAATGGCAGCATGCTTTAAAGCTCCTGGACGAAAACTCAGAGTCGTAACTCATACATATTCCTGCTCTTCCTTCCTTCTTTCCTTCCTCCTATCCTCATCCCTCCCTCCCTTCCTTCCTCCTTTCCACCCATCCTCTATCCTTCCCTGCCTTCCTCCCTCCCTCTCTTCCTTCCTTCCTCCCTCCCTCTCTTCCTTCCTTCCTCCCTTCCTTCCTTCCTTCCTTCTTTCCTTCTTCCTTTCTTCCTCCTTTCTTTCCTTCCTACCTTCCTTCCTTCCTTCTTTCCTCCCTTCCTTCCTTCTTCCTTTCTTCCCTTCTTCCCTTCTTTCCTTATTTGAACTCTGGGCCTCATGTCTAGTAGTTAACACTCTACCATTTGCCCACACCCTCACCTCTCTTTTTTTTTCTTGCCCAGGCTTCAATGCCTACCTTCCATTCTGCAAGCTGACACACTTTGTACATCTTTCCCTAGACTTTGCTCACATTGTGGTAAACCCATGAGATGTAGGTTTCAATCCTTCCTCTTTCACTGGGGGCAATTTTGGCCATTTAACATCCCTGGCCTTCAGTATCATTGTGGGGTTAAATGAGATAATCATTGCGTAAAGCTTTAGCACAGTTTAATGTAGTAATGTTCAAGGAATAAATACCACATCTTCACTTAATAGTAAAGTCTCTTGTGTCTGGCAGAGAAAGAAAAGACAGTGAAGTGGATGCCAGAGGCTCATCCTTGTAATCCTAGGTACTCAGGAGGCTGAGATCTGAAGGTCGTAGTTCAAAGATAGTTAGGGCAGAAAATTTCACAAGGTGCCAGTCTCCAATTAATTAGCAAAAAAAGAGGCAAGTAGTAGGGTACCAGCTATGAACATAAGACCCTCAGTTCAAACACTGGTCTGGTCTGTCTCTGTCTCTGTCATTGTCTCTGTCTCTCTCTGTGTCTCTGTCTGTCTCTGTCTCTGTCTCTCTCTCTTTCACACACACACACACACACACACACACACACACACACACACACACACACACACACACCTGTATTCCAAACTAAGTAACCTAGCTAGCTTCTGTTCATCCTGTCCTACCCATGGAGAACTCCCCTGAGGAAGCTAGAGAAAGTTGTGACCTCTGAAAGTTAGATTCCAGGCTCTACCACAGAGTGACATCCCCTTCTCACCCAGCTACACCAAATATTAGAGCACACGCAAACTTACTCAGAACTCTGCAGAACCACCTCACCCAGCAAAACAGATGTTTCTGTGTCCCTAAGGAGAAAACAACCTCATACATTCAGAAATGGAAATAGTAGTTCACTCCATCCAATTACCAGCAGCTAATTTTGATTTCAAGGTCATTTTGCATGGTGTCCTCCTTCGTGTGCCCAGTGCTTTGGCTCTAATCTCTCTCTGATTTTTGTGGCTCAGCATCCATGTAAATACTGCAAGCCATCATAATTGCCATTTTAGGATTTGGTCTCCTGGTGATGTACAACAGTTCCAATTTTTAGGAAATTGATGATTGGCAAACAATGAAAGGTTTTGCAGATTATAAAGACTTTAGTACAATTTTCTC